GACATGAATTTGGCATGGCAACAAGCCTCTGAAATGAGGTTGAAATAATAAGGGAACAGTCTCCAATAAAGGAACGTCTCCAATACAGTCGACCTACCCTTATAACGATAACCTCTATAACGATATTACCGTTATAACGATATTTTTCTGCCAAACCAAATCACTCCATTGACTTTTGTATACAATGCCCTACCCTTATAACAATATTGCTATAACGATATTACCCCTATAACGATATAAAATGGGCTGACCAATCAACATTTTCCATTTTATAACAATATCTAGCAGGGAAGATGTAGAGCCCACTATCCAGGTAGGGCAAGCTTCACTTGATAAGTCGCCGGGACATGGCGAAATGCAATGGGGGCACCAGTGGGCACCTTGCTGTGTACATAATGTGCATGTATGTCAGTTTTTACGCTATGAAGAGTGTAAAAAATGAACAAAATCCATGCATTATGACGTATGTGTATGAAATGAACCAGTTACCCCTATAACAATATTACCCTTATAACAATATTTCTTGGTCTGACGCAAATATCGTTATAAGGGTAGGTCGACTGTAATAGCACGGGGCGGAGGTACATTGAAAAAATAAAGGACCGTGCTTATATTAGAGATAATACGGTATATTGACTTCAGTAGTAATATATTGACTTCAGTAGTAATATATTGACTTCAGAAGTAAGTCACGCTCGATTGTGAGTCGCACCCCCTTTTCTACCCTTGATTTTTTGTGTAGAAAGGTGCGACTTATATTCGGGGAAATACGGTACGTCTTCGTGCTATGCTGAACGACAGATCACAGACTATGTGCTGGCGCTATTGCTAGGCTCCACATACCTTCACGGCAACCACGCGCGGTTCTTCGTTGTTGAGCGGTCGGTAGACGCCCTTGTTCACCACGCCGAAATGACCCTTGCCTAGAATGCTGGAGATTACGGCAACGTACACAGACAAACACGTGTACACTCGTGTGTGACGGCTGTACATCCACGTCTGTGCACACCCAAGCTAAATAGATCAAATCTGGTAACTATGGCAACGTAAGCTCCAGACGTTCTAAGGGAGAGCTGCTCATCGTCGTACCGAGTGTGAGTTTGCTGAAAGCGCGCGGAATGCCGAGAGCCCAGCACTCAGCTAGATAGCTTTAGGAGACTCCCTTCGATAGGCATCTATTTGCCTCTGGAGGATCCGTGAAATAAAAATCAATCAATCAATCAAAATCAAAGCTTAGAGCATGCCGGTCCTATCGAAAGAACTTGTTTGCATGTACAGGGGCACGGCAGGGAGGTGGGGAGGGGTACAACCGGCGTCCGGGGCGGGGGGTGTACCCCTGGGGAAGAAAATCTGACTTTCCGGCCATCAGAGTACATTTTGGTACTGCGGGCGGACCATCCTGGACGAAACCTGGTATGGCCATGGTCGTACTAGTGGTGCTGTGTGTGCGCTCCTGGTGTGGATGTTCAAATAGGCACTTACTCTCCCAGTTCAATGAGAGACGCATCGATCTCGTACGCCTTCAATGACTCGTCCAGTTCCACCCTGAAGCCGACAACAAAGACAATAATGGAAACGCGTCAAGAGCTTGATAGCACAGCACTGGGCAGTGCGTTCACTGTCTTGTGTGTGTGTGTGTGTGCGTGTGCGCGTGTGCGTGTGTGCGTGTGCGCGCGCGCGAGTGCGTGCGTGCGTGTGTGTGTGTAGTGCGTTACTCGGCCAGAAACTACGGTTGCGCTCACTGAAGCAGGACGTAAAGTGCACACACCCTGACGCCCTGGACCAGGGCCAGTTCTACATACACCATCACAGTACTTCTACTGTCGTGGACATGGAAATCCGGTCACACGTCTAGCGGCCCCAGGGCGCTGGCCAGGCAGCCGTGGATAAGCGGTACACATGTGCATTTATGCGCTGCAGCGCGCTAGTCGCATCGGATCAACATGTGCGCTGCACGCAGCGTTCCGTACGCTCTGAGGGCGCCGGCCCCAGTCAATCGGCCGGTTTTCCATGTCAACGACAGTACAAGTGAATGCAAACACAACACACAAATACATATACAAACGTGTGCGTGTACGTTCAGCGGCATTCGTACCACGTCCAGGGCGTCCAGGGCCATGCAAACTGAGGACGTCAGCAGCTTTGCACTTTTGGTCGGATTTCAGTGAACAACAGCTAAAAGTAGTCCTGCTCTAGCACATCTCAATTCACACGTCCATTGAAAGTTCACTTTCACGGCCAATGTTAAGATGATGCCTTACCCTGAGAGATTCCTAGGCTCACTGTTTTCTTCACTCCACTTATCCAGGTTATCTTATCTCGTTTCTCCATTCTCATCGTCATCACAACATTGGGCATGATTGCCCGTTTGACTTGCGATGTAAATACAAAATTAATAATAGAATGCAAGAACAGCTACACTGCATGAACGGATTTGATATGCATATTGGTTTAGGATGTTTCGAAGAAGTCGGAAGAAAATGTAGGATGGTCGCTGCTTGGATGATGAGCACACCAAAGCTCAGTGGTATAGCATTGCTGGGCGTACGCGAGAGACCCTGGTTGGAGTCCTGGTGGGGACAGTCAATATTTCCTCCGAATGTTCCCGTTTGTACCTCTCCCTCAAACTAATGAAGGCCTCACTCTAGCAAAAACAGCAATGTAAGTTACCTGTCAGTAGCGTAGAAGTCGTTAATAACATTTGCTCCGTTCCCATTGGGAATAATGAACCTGTCAACAGTGGAAGAGAGAGAGAGAGAAAGAGAGAGAGAGAGAGAGAGACATAGAGAGAGAGGGACAGAGAGATACAGACAGGCAGGCAGGCAGACAGACACACAAACACACAGAGAGACAGAGAGAGAGAGAGACAGAGAAAGAGAGAAACGAAGAGAGAGAGAAACAAAGAGAGAGAGAAACGAAGAGAGAAAGATAGATTTATGGATGGATGGGACCACGGGGGGGGGGGGGGGGGGGGGATAGACAGGTGGGCTTATGGTAGGGATTTCAGGCGGTTTTTTGTTGTCAACAGTGCATACTGCAGTTATGGCTCAAATGAAAGATATGGATGTGATTATCAACCAGCCAAAAAATCAGAGCAATCGGCCAAGGGAAACCAGAGTTATGATCATTTGAATACGGGTGGGTACCCTTCATCGGCAAGTATACAATTAGGATGGGAAGCACGGCACAAAACGGGTTTCAAGAAGGCCATAGCAACACCCTAGCAACAGCCCAAAGTGCTCCAAATCGCACCAAACTTGGACAGCATGATTGGTGGAGCCCACCGGTATAAAATCACGGAATATTTTTTTGAATTTTTAAAAACTGAACAGAAATAACAACAATGGCGTCCATAGCAACGACCTTAGCAACAGGCTTAGAATCCATGAAACTGCTGCTCATTGTATCAAAATTCACCTGTTGGATAAATGTACATACTGATATGGCATAGCATACATGTACCAATTAATGTTTGAACAAGAAACAGGACAATGAGCTTCCAGGCCGAAGTAAAAATATAGTATACATGTATCTACAAGTGACGCGCTCAGCAAAAGTGGTTGCGACTGGCCTCACAATTAATACGCGACATTGCAATGTTCACATGCCAGAAGGAGAGACAGAGGCTCAGCAGCAGCAACAACAGCAACAGCACTCTCACACACCATTTCAAGCATACATATAGAGCTGTTCATCCATGAACACGCGCACCCACCACCAGTCCGTGCGCCAACACCCACCCACACGCACACGTGTGTGCGCGCGCGCACACACACACACACACACACACACACCCACACACACACATACTACTATTATAGCATGACTGCCCCATAGGGCCACGTCACTCCCTTGTGACAGGGAGCCAGAGTCAGGGTAAGAGAGTCCATGCTGGCGAGCCACATGCCGGTTGACATCTCGTTTTAGCCGAGAACGTTTAAAGCAACCAGAGGAGAGGAGGAGAGTCAATGCTAAAGGCCGATGTGTCAGGTTCGGCGCATGGAACACACAACAGATTTCTGCAGTTTCCCTTTTTCTTGCTAATTCTTCTTCCAGATCAATGATTTTCTTTGACAGGCTTTCAACAGATTTTTTTTCAAATTTACTGGCATTTTCTTTTTGAATGTCACACGATTCAGTACCGACATTATGTGCTGGGATGACATCCAGTTCAGGCAGAACGAACGGCTGACAAAGCAGTTCGCTGATGGCGTCCTCGGCTTTGTCCTTCAGCAGCTTCTTCCGTCGGTATCTCACCCGCTTGACTTTCGTCCCAACTGCTTTCGCGTTCACTTTGTCTATTTCCTTGCCATCCACTGCTGACAACATGTTAACAGCAAAATCAGCGACTGCATTAAATTATATTTGCGTGTTTGTAGTCCACGACAGAAGTTCAAGGACGAGGCTGTTCGTCAGCTGGCCAGGACTATCCACTGCTACCCGCCCTGATGGCGAGTCAAGACGGAGCGCATTGCAACTGTTTACACGTCAGAGACAGCTTCTTGCACAGAGGGCCAATCCAAGACTCGTCTTTCTCGCACGCCATGGCGTTCTACTAAATTTCGCGAACAACCGCGACTCGTCAGCTAGATACAAGGAACTGATCTAAACTAAATCGAGGGTGCAGAATCCGATTATCGATGTTGCGAGTGTGTGCAATGCTTGCATCAAATCGAAAATCGACTTTGAAATCATTGAAAGACGCACGAATCCAGTCTTTTTTACGCCATTTCACCGAGATTGGTACCAAATGAAAGCTCAAAACCTCTACTCTCATGTAAACCCGTTCGATTTTGTCTCCAAGCGTCACTGCACCATCCAGTGACAGTTGAACGCCTCCGCAAAAATTGTGCCATGCGCAGATCCCCAAATCAATGCAGCTGCATGAAGGCTCTTTCGGGCCAAAAAGTCACGTGACTGAAATCCCTACTTATGGAAATACGGATGGATGGATGGACGGATGGATGAAGAGAAACAGAGAGACAGTGATAGAGAACAGC